CTTTAGCATACCACATTGGTCCTGTCCATCTAAAGTGTCTCCCTGCTACTAGTTCTCCGTCTTTATCTTTCTCCTGAAGTAGAAATGATATATGACAATATAAAGAATTTTATATTAAAAAAAATTTTTTTATTCAAATGATTAAAAATCAATGAAGGTGTGAAGATTAAATAAGAATAAAATTGAAATTATCATTTTTTTAGATAATTATTAATAATCGTTAGTAAATCAAATATCCGTTAAAAATCAAGACTATCAATAATGAATGAATAATTATTGGACAATACAATAGTATAAGGGGCTAGAGGCTCCTCTAGTTGATAATTAATAAAATCTTGTAAGGCTTGAGGTGTAGAAAGGATTTGATCCAAATTTCTGCACAATTTTTCTACATAAACTTTAACATTCACACTTGAAACACTACTACTCAAACTTTTCATGTTTTCTGTTATTGAAGCTTAACTTTATTAAACCAATTTTTAGACCCTTTACTTTATATACATGTTAAATTGCAAAAAACTATCCTTGTTATTTCTATTATTGTTGGGATTTAGTTATCCTTTGAATTCCCAGGATAACAGAAATTACTAGGATCCTTGAGATTTTAGGAATCTGGGATTCGTGATTGTCATGTCATGTGACCATGTCGATCCCGACCTTCACAATAGTTACAACTAATTTTTTAAGTAAAATTGTAGACTTTAAAAAATTTGTCAACATTTTGCTGATCATTTACGGTATATTTGTGCTTTTGGTTGTAATGGTTGCACCACGCTGGCGTAAATTGTTGTTTTAATCAAAGTCTGCTGATTCATTGTTCTTTTCAACGTTCGAGAAAATGAAATATAGATTGTGGATAATATTTTTTATTTTCCTTTCTATCAATACCATTGATGCATATTTTCCATCAGCAAGAGCGGGTCACACGGCAGTTCTTATCGACAATAAGATTTATTTCCACGGTGGAGTCTCGGATTCAGGTTATATATATTCAGACCTATTTTATCTTGATGTTTCAAATCCTTTCAACGTATCTGACATATCGTCGATGCCTTGGAGTGATCCTACATCGATTCCCGCTTTCACAGCAAGGTCATATGGTGCAGCTTGTGCCGGAAGTATTACGAGTAAATCGATATTTTTCATTGGCGGAACATTAAGTTCCGGACATTTTGTTGATGAATTTAACACCACAACGTTACGATGGAATTTCCCACTAGTTTCTGGGGAGAGTGTACCACAAAACAGATCTCAAATTCAGTGTGTGGTTTTAAAAGATGCGATTTATGTGTATAGTGGAAATATTGAGAATGATATGATTAAGTTAAATACAACAAGTCTGACTTGGTCAGTGGAAGATGAAATAAATCCACCCGCCGCGTATGGCGGATACACAGCAACATTATTACCAAATGGAAATATCGTGTATTTGCGTGGATTTTATGTTGCTAATTTTACTCTTCCCGGTTTGGATCAGGTTTGGATTTAAAATATTCAACGATCCACACGAATTTTTTCTTTTTCTTATTTGAATTCTAAAAAGATATTAGTGTATAATACGAATAATAATTCATGGAGCACAATCGTGAGTTATGATTCTTATCTTAAAAAGAGGCAAGCTATTTATCTTAAAGGTTGTTATATTTTGACATGATTTAGACCGCTACAGGATCAATACCACATCCAAGAAATGGCCACACGGCAATTCTTCTAGGTTCGACAATATTACATACTTTATATGTGTGGCATCAACTGCGATCTTATTATTATTATCTTCATTATGCTAGTACAATATGATCAAATTTTAGTTGTTAACGGACTAATAACTACTACCGTCAGCGCGTTAAACATTGTAAATTATGTGTGGTCAGACATTCCAATATCTACTGATGTGGGTGCCCCTTCACCTTCTTATACCATCGTGTTTCAAACTTCAACGCTCATTGGAAACTATATTTTTGTTGCGCTCGGTAAGCACAGGATTTTAAAATAATTTTTTGATTATTATTATTTCAAACGAGTTATTATTCTTTTTAGGGTATAATTTGGATAGACGTATATCGACAAATAATATTTTTCTTCTTGATGTAAGTAAAAAAAATAATTACAAGTGGGTTAAAACATATTATCCCCCAGGCTATGTGTCGCCAAATGTTACCACAACTCCGAACTCGGAAGCTACAAACAATATTGGAGTAATAATTGGTGGGACAATTGGTGGAATTGTTGGACTTGTAGTTGTAGTTATCATAGTTCTTGTTATAAGAAAAAAGTATTGTTTTTCCGCCTCCGATTCCCAAGGAATAACAAATCACCAACCATATCAAGGTGGAATGACAAATTATCAACAATACCAAGACGGAACAACTAATCATCAACCGTACCAAGGTTGGAGAACAAACCGTCAACTATATCAGGATGGAACAACAAATCACCAGCCGATGTTTTGATCCACATTTACAATCGAATTCTAAATGCATTGATAAGGATTTAATTGAAATTTACATACGCGCAAGCAAGTTGTTTTGATGTTTAAAGTCAAGGAAGCATTCAATGTGCATTCAAAATATTCTTTACAACTTGATTATCACTACGAATCGGCATATAGTGCTTACTATAAGAAAATATAGTATATACAAAATATTTTCGTTTCCCGCGCACATAAATCCGTTTGTCAAATCAGACATTTAGTTTATAGCAATAGTCAATTTATCAAATGTTGGGTATATAACAATAAAGGATAAATATATATATGTATATATAAATTAATAAAATATTGATACAGTATAATAATATGAGGATGAAAAGGATGAAAATTGTCATTATAACATTAACAACAGTTAACCAGAATGATAAATTCTGATAGCATATTTAATGTTGCTATTGTTATTGCAATGAACTTTGAATGCAAAGCATTAGAATATGGTGAGACAAAAGTTTTGTGGTTATTATATAAAGTATTGTACTTTGGGTCTAAGAGAATATGGAGATAGTCGAGCACCGAATTTAAAGAACGTGTGTTTATAACTCTATGCTTCTCGTAAATAAAAATTATTTATCATAGAAGATACATAATATACAAATATACCCATTATTTTTACAACACTTGTAATATAATTATTTATAGTGAATACTCTGAACAAGACATATTATGCACAAGTCTAAGTTAGATTTCTGGCTTTCTATAATGCAGGAGTTGTATTGATTTAATATATAATTATAACGATAAATGAAAATATTAATATAACGATGATTTTTATAACACTCGTGATAAAAATTAGCTGTAATGGATTCTCTGAAGATATTATTTAATTTTATAATTATCCAGTTGACTGTCTATTGTACAATAATATAATGTTAAATTAATATATTTTAATTACAAATAAATAAATAAATATAAACGTATTATTTACCTTTGTTTGTGTAAGAATGAGATACGCTTGTGACTTTTTGTTCGTTGTAAGAATGGAATTCACTTGCATAATTTTGTGCAGAGTACGTTTCTAATTGTACACTTTTTACATTGTCTAATACTTTATCAGACTTGGTTAATTCTGTTAAAATTTTGGCATTCTTTTGCCATTCTGTGAAAGTTCCGTAAATTTCTTCAGCGCGTGGACGATTCTCTGGTTTTCCACGCCAACATCTCTTCATAAGATCTATATATCTTTGTGGTGTGCCCTCAACGATAGGTTCTCGAAATTCATACGTTGTTACTTTAATTTGAAATTGATCTATAGATTCTTTAAAAGGATAGGCTTTTCCAGAAGAAATTTCCCACATAATTATTCCAAATGAGTAAATATCTGACGCCAAGGTATATGGAAGGCCATTAAATACCTCAGGTGCTATGTATTGTAAAACACCGCAAGCTCCTTTATGTTCTATATCGGTCGATATTGAAAGCCCTAAATCTGCAATATATGCACTCTCCAAGCTATTTAATAATATATTGCCGCTATGTAGATCCCGGTGAATAATATTTTGCGAATGAATTATTTGGAGATCAGAAGCGATAGAGATTAACAAATTTAGTTTATTTTCCCACTTCATTTGTGCTATTAAAGGAAGGTTATTGCGCAAAGAACCCTTTTCTGCTAAATCAATAACGAGTACATAATCTCGAGAAATATCATCCCTTGATATTCCATGGCATCTTAAAAATGTCGGATTTTTATAACCAATATCGCAATATGCCTTTAACTTAAATGAAGAAGAACATTTTAGTAAAATGTGACGATAAAACACCTTTTATTTATTTTTTTTTTTACCTCATTTATAAATTCGTTATTACAATCTCTTGATCCACGAATTAATTTAAGTGCAACACCTTTGCCATTCCACTGTGATTGATACACATTAGCAAATCCACCTCTTCCTATCGGCCTAGCAACTTTAAATTCGTTGATAGGAATCCAAAGTAACGGAAATCCATTTTCATCAAGCATTTTTTTAAGTTCATCATCCATTTCAGGGATTTTAAGTATTAAATCGTTTGAAGCTAAAGGCTCGATTATTAGTTTCTGTTTAAAAAATTAATTATATAATGATAATATCGGAACTGCATTTACCTAATAGTTTATCCCTTTCCCTAATTAATTCCATTTTGTTAGTTTATAAAAACATAATAATTATTAAAATATCGAGAGTTACTTACATTTGGTACCAATACATAGACATTTGTAAGTTTCTTGTGACTCCAAATCCATCTCGATAAAATCTGGCAAGCATGGAAATTCCTGGAAGGTCGCCCATCTCGGCTGATTTTTTACAATATTCGAATGCCTTGCGCTCGTCCTTTTCGACTCCAACTCCATAGTGATAATCATAGCTAACATTATATATTGCCGTTACATGACCCATATCGGCTGCTTTTTTATGATATTCAAATACCTTCTGTCTATCCTTTTTAATTCCAATTCCATGTTGATAATAATGTGCAACTTTATTTATTCCATATAGAAGTCCCATGTTGGCTGATTTTTGAAAATATTCGAATGCCTTGCGCTCGTCCTTTTCGACTCCAATTCCATCTTCATAATAGTGGCCAGTATTATATGCCCCCATTGCATTACCCATCTCGGCTGATTTTTGAAAATATTCGAATGCCCTATGTTCATCCTTTTCAACCCCAATTCCATCTTGATAACAATGACCAACATTAAATGTTCCATCTACATAACCCATTTCGGATGATTTTTGAAAATATTCGAATGCCTTATATTCATTCTTTTCAACTCCAATTCCATCTTGATAACAATGACCAACATTAAATGTTCCTATTTCATTACCCATATCAGCCGATTTTTGATAATATTCGAATGCTTTACGCTCATCCTTTTCAACTCCAACTCCATGGAGATAGCTATGACCAACAGTATATGTTCCAATTACATGACCCATATCGGCTGATTTTTTATAATATTCAAATGCTTTATGATCATCCTTTTCAACTCCAGTACCTTTATCATAACTAATGGCCATATGGAATACGCCATCAGGATCTTCCGTTTCAGCTGACTTTTGAAAGTATTCGAATGCCTTATGTTCATCCTTTTTAACTCCAACTCCATTGTGATAACAATAGCCAACCTGAGATATGCCATTAGAATCTCCCTCACTAGCAAATTTTTGAAAATATTCGAATGCCTTTTGCTCATCCTTTTTGACTCCAATCCCATTGAAATAACAAATGGCAACATTAAACGATCCATCTACATAACCCATCTCAGCTGATTTTTTAAAATATTCGAATGCCTTGTGTCCATCTTGCTTAACTCCAATTCCATTGAAATAAAAATGACCGACATTGTATGTTCCTGTTGCATCACCCATGTCAGCCGATTTTTTATAATATTCGAATGCCCTGTGTTCATCTTTTTCAACTACAACTCCATTGAGATAGAAATAGCTCATATTATATGTTCCATTTACATGACCCATCTCGGATGATTTTTGAAAGTATTCAAATGCCTTGCGCTCATCCTTTTCAATTCCAAGTCCATTAATATAACAATATCCAGTATTATACATTCCATCTACAAAACCCATCTCAGCTGATTTTTTGTAATTTTCGAATGCCTTATGCTCGTCCTTCTCGACTCCAAATCCCTTGAGATAACAATGGCCAACCCGAAATATGCCATTAGAATCTCCCATCTCGGCTGATTTTTGAAAATATTTGAATGACTTATGTTCATCTTTTTTGACTCCGAGTCCCTTGAGATAACAATAGCCAACCTGAAATATGCCATTAGAATCTCCCATCTCGGCTGATTTTTGATAATATTCGAATGCCTTACGTTCATCCTTTTTGACTCCGATTCCATTAGAATAACAATAGCCAACCTTGTATGTTCCATTTACATGACCCATCTCAGCAGATTTTCGGTAATATTCGAATGCTTTACGATTATCCTTTGCGACTCAAACTCCTTCATCATAACAATAGCCAACTCTGTAAGTTTCATCTACATAGCCTTTCTCGGCTAATGATAGATAATTCTCGAACGAATGTTCGTACTTTTTAGTAATATGAAAAAGTTTTGCGCTTTCCATGGTCGATAATTGGTAGCTAGCATTGATACTATCAGCGTTTTATACAATTAACCGTTACACTTAGCTTTAATGATTATGTATTTAATTTAACATACATAATTTATAAATAGCAAATAACCTCTTTCCAAGTTTTTATGTTTCATCTTTCTGAACGATATTTTTTATTAAATTAACATCCCGTCGATCGTTTCTTTGTCTTGTTAACGCGCCTCTAATTTTTATGGTTACACGATGCCGACGTAATTAATATTTTTTATTCATCGAATAAAGGTCTGTTTTGATTCCTTGTTCTTTGGACGTTGATAATATAATGATAATTAATGATAATTGCTTCGTTCTTTTTTAATTAACATTATTAATTTATTTTTTCCTATGAACAAGATTTATTTTCAATGCTATTTACCCCAATATTTCAAAAACTTTTTAACATAACTAAACTATTTTCGATGCCTTTGAGTGATCCCATATTGATTTCCACTTTTGCGAGTCTTTCGCGTAACCGTGATTAGGGTTGGATTAAGGGTAAGGGCATTCCGTTCTTTGTTCGATTATTATGTTACTGGAGGGAAGATCGCGAAGTCGTTGTCTCATCAATCACGTGACTATATTCGTCCTACCATAGTTTTAAAGGAGGTATTAAAAATGACTAAGTTAGATGTACAAATTTAACTTTCACATTGGAAAATACAACCGTTGAATACATTAGATATTAGATCAGATTTGTTTTTAAATAGCCACTTTAATTTTAAAGGACAATTTGTTGAAAACGACTGTTTATGTATTTTCACCTAAAATCTGCTTTCTTATTAAAGGTTTTATAACATAACTAAATTAGACTACCACAGGATCGATAAGGTTCGATGATATTACATATTATTATTCCAAACAAAAT